TTGATTCTACATAATATTAAACCAGAGGCAGAAAAATGTGGACCTTTGAGATTTTTTCCTTAGTATTTTACGGATTTTCCCTTATAAGCTTGTTTTCCTGGAAGGATGTTATGTTACGGCTTTGGCCTTCCTTGTGAAATGTATTGGCTCTGACAGGAACTTGCTTCTTGCCTGAGGTTATACACTGGGCCTTTCAAAGAGTTGGTTACTCAAAGGAATTCCTGACTGTGTTCTGAGAGATATTAAACGGTTCTTTGTGGATAAGTGTGCTTCTTAAAGAACCCTAACTCTAACTTCAGCTTGTCCAAAACCCGCCAGACAGATTGTTAACTAGGTCTGGTTACAGGGATCACATAACTCCCATTACAGCAGCTCCACTGGCTGCCAATCCATTTCCGGGCACAATTCAAAATGCTGGTTCTAACCTATAAAGCCCTAAATGGCCTGGGTCCATGCTGCCTCAATGACCACATCTCCCATTATGAGCCTAACTGGGTGTTAAGATCATCAGAGGCGACATTCCTCAGTCCCACGTTCTTCACCCGTGTGTGCTTGGTGATGACACAGTAGAAGGCCTTCTCTGTTGCTAGCTCCCAGATTTTAGAACTCCCTCCCACAAGAAGCCAGTCTTTGCTGTTCTTGGGCAAGAAGGTAAAGACCTTCTCTCCAGGGAAGCTTTCCTGCATTGACTGGCTGCCTGGGTGGGGGTTTTAAATGGATTGTTATGCCTTACTGCCTTGAATGTGTTTTTGGTATTGCTTTTGTTTAAATGTCTTAGACTGGATCCTTTTTGGTATTTGTATACTTAAGTGTTTGTCATTTTAAATACTTTTTTTAATGATATAAGGCCACATTGGATATTTTTGAAGGAGAAAAGTGGAGTTAAAATATTAAATAAATAATAAATAGTATTAGTTCAGAGGGTTGCTTTATGTCTACAATGGATATCGTTAAAGTAAGCAGATCTAGAGTAGATCCATTTGAATCCATGGAGTTGACTCATCAAATCTCTAGATGTGGATAAAACCTTTGAAAAATAAATTGTAAGTATTTCAAAGGGACACAATGTAGTAGTGTGATCAGGTTCTTCAGGAGTTGGTGACAGTTCTCTCATTTTGGCAGGAATAAGAAATGGAGGCGATTTTAAAATTCCAACAGGTTCAACTTTATTAACTTCAACATAATGATTAACCAACTCAAATGGATCAAAGCAGCTTAATTCTGGCAACGTCTTGTAACTGAGTCTTTTTGTTTCTGAAGTAAATATATCGTTTCTCACATTGGGGCTGGACCAAAGCGCTCGTGATCGGTCATCTCTCTCAGGGGGGTACTCCTTACTGCGCACACTGTCCCACAACAAGGGTGTCTCACCCAGTCCCCTTCTAGAGGTGGAACGTTGTAAGAAGGACTGGGACGAACCACCTTCCTCCCTCCACCTTGGTTGCGGGGGTAAACTACTACTGTCCATTCTAAGGGCTTTACTCCTTTCTTCTCCACTTTGGGTAGATCCGGATCTGGCAGCAGTCCTCCACCTGTTTTTAAGTTTGGAAAATCTTTTAACAAGTTACAGACCTTTGAAGAGGCTTCTTTTCTTTCTGCCTGCACCGCACAATCTTTTGTCCTAGTTGTTGTGGGTTTTTCGGGCTTATTGGCTGTGTTCTGAAAGTGGTTCTTCCTAACATTTCGCCAGTCTCTGTGGCCGGCATCTTCAGAGGACAGCAAACTGTGCTCTGGGTAGGCTTGAGAGTGGGTGGAGTATTTGTGGCTGTGAGAAGGCTAGTTTGTGAGGTAGGCTATTGTCCTAATCAGGAGATGGTTGATTAATGTGTTTTGTTGTGGATGTATTGTTTTGATAAGGAGGGGAGATTATCTGTCCCTGTGGTTGATGGGTGTCATTAGCTGGTCTTTTGTGTGCAGTAATCCCCTGACCTTGTGGCTGGGTAGAGTTCGTTGACCTTTTGCACTCTGTGTTTTTGAGAGCTGGGAGCCAGGTTTTGTTGAGTTTCAGACATTCCTCCTTCCGGTTGAAGTTTTGTTGATGCTTGTGGATTTCAATGGCTTCCCTGTGCAGTCTGACGTAATGATTGCTGGTGTTGTCCAGTATTTCAGTATTTTGAAATAGAATTTCATGTCCAGTTTGTTTTATGGCATGTTCAGCTACTGCAGATTTTTCTGGTTGTTTTAGTCTGCAGTGTCTCTCATGTTCTTTGATTCTGGTGTGGATGCTTCGTTTTGTGGTTCCAATGTATACCTGGCCACAACTGCAAGGTATCCGGTATACTCCTGCAGTGGTGAGGGGGTCCCTTCTGTCCTTTGCTGACCGTAACATTTGTTGTATTTTTGTGGTGGGCTTGAATACTGT